TTTTCCTGTTGAGTCTGATGGGGTGACACCACGCCCTGGCCCCACAGTCTTTTGGGTATTCCCTGGGGACGTCATTGCTCTGTTCGCCTTGCTGTTCTGTTGTACACCCTTAGTGTTTAGCCTCCGCGTGGTGGGGTCAGATCGGGCACAATTCCCGCAGTATGTCTCCAATGTTGTCTCTTCTAGCCCTATGGGTCATTGAAAGACATCGTGTCTTGTGGTGGGGCCGGCCCAATGATCCTCTGTGCATTGGCTGCTCTGAGCAGCAATATCATTCTCGGGGATTGGTGGGCAAGGGTGTGCTCCACTCTGTTTCAGATATCGCCAGATTGGTTTCCATAGTGTCTGTACATACTTACAGGTCCACCAGCAGTGGATGAGAGTTCATATCTCACCACAGCCCCTCCAACACTTGTTACTTTCTGATTTTTTGGATTGGGCTATCTTGAAGGGTACTAAGTGGTATCTCAGTCATTGTTTTAATTTGCATTTCTCTTATGGGGAACATTTTCTGACATGTTTATTGGCCATTCGGATTTCTGCCCTTGTGGAACTTGTGTTCAGGTCCTTTGCTCACCTACCTCCTCAGTGGGCAGTTAGTTTTTTTTCTTTTTGGAAGCTAGCAGAGTACTGTAGATTTTCGTAGTAAGGTCTTTTTCTGATGTATCATGGGTAAAGATGTTTTCCCAGTCCGTGGGCTTTCTTGGTGAATTCTTTCGATGTACACAGGTGTTTTATCTTCAGTATATCCCACTTGTCAATTTGTGCCTCATCTGTATTTGTATTCTTTCCTATTTCTGATAGCCTATGTATTCCCTGTACCAAAGTTCTCAGGTTTGTCCCAATTCCCTCATTGATGGCCCTAATTGGGATTTTTACCTCGAGGTCTATGATCCACCTTGAGTTTATTCTTGAGCATGGATTGAGCTAAGGGTTTTGCATCATTTTTATGCAGGTAGATATCCATTTTTCCAGCACCACTTGTTGAAGAGGTCATCTGCTTTTCATTTGATATTTTTGGGGTCCTTATCAAAGAGCAATTGTATGCTGATGATTTTATCTCTAGGTTTTCAGTTCTTTTCCATTGGTCAGTACCAGGTGGTTTTGACCACTGTGGCTGTATATGTGCTAAAGCAAGCCCTCCCACTCTGTCCTTCTTCTTGAGGAGTTCTCTGCTAATTC